CAAATCAACTAATATGTTCCCAGTTATACCATATGGGCTCTGCTCCTCTGTATTCTTTATTTGGGTTAACCAGGAGAGGTAGGACTGAAAGCAAGAGTTATGGTTAAAGGAGGCTCAGGTCAATAATTTTTTAAGTGGTCAGTGTTGCTAATCAGCCTCTCAACCTTCCAACTTTTCAGTATTGAAACTTAGTTCTGAATTTTGCACGAAGTTGCAGTTTTGTAATTGGTGTGCATCTGACTGTTGGACTAAAAGAGCTCTGACTTTTAAGAACATTTGAAAAATAGCCTGAAATTTGAAAATTAGACCCAAATGAGAGACTTTTGCACTTTCCTACATACAGTGTAAGCTTCTGTGTTTAAAATTGTATTACTCCAGTTGTCTTGAGCAGAATGGGCTGAAAATGTAGATTTCACAGTTGGAAAGTGATGCTCTTCCTTGGGTTTGGGGACACAGAGCAACCAGCCCAGAGTGCAGCTTCCCTGAGTGTCAGACAAAAGCAGCTTAGCCAGGTCCCCCTGCTCTATCAGCTTTACCCAGTGCACTGTAAAATTACCTGAGCCCTACTCTTGTGATATGGACAAAATTGAGTTTATCTACACTCAAATGCCATTTTTTTAGCAGATATTACATTTGTTGACCTGGTATTTAGCTACCAGGTTGGACAAATGGCAGTGATGATTTTGAAATTTCTCTGAGTCCATCACCTAAAACTAATACTTACTGACTTAATTATCAGGACTTAAGCATGGCACCCACACAGGTACTCCCCTAAGGCTTATTCACATCCTTAAGAATTGCAATGTTTTTCTGAATCCATTTGTGGATGTCTTTTGGAGGAACATTTAGGCTGCCATGTCACCTGGCATTTCTGAAATCCACACTGCTGGTGGCTTGTTAGCTGTGAGGGAGAAAATGATGTGGCTATCTCAGACCCTAAAGAAAGAAGCCTGGGAATTTGGAGCCTGTTTTTGCTCCCAGCACTGTGGCTGACTTGTTATTTGACCTCCAGATGTTGCAGTTCCCAGTCCTGTGTGTGATGCTGGATGCAGTGAGCTGTTGCAAAGCCCATCAGTAATTTTTGCAGTATAATTACAGAAACACAAGCCATGTAAAGATGGAAATCATGGTACAGATGTGTCTCAAAGCAGGGCTGTCTTTCAGGTGGCCCAGAGGGTCACAGACTGTGCATTTGCAAATGTACCCCCTGCTTTAAAGCTGTGAGCGTGGGGCTGAGTTTAATTGCTTTTTTGGGATTATAGTGAGAGCTGTGACAGCTCTGGCTATTGCCAGTGGGTTTGGACTGTGAGTGACAGACGTTCATTGAGGGGTTTAGCAGTGCTCCACTCATTACCCAGGAGCTGTAATCCATCATGTTAGAGACTGTGACCCTTGGAGTGAGCAGCTGTGGTGCCCGTGCCACGTTAATTTGTTGAATGTTTTGTGGCATGATTTTTCACTTTGCTGTAAGGGACTCTCCTGCGTCCTTGTTAATTGTCAGTCCGGGTTACTTGACTGCGTCTCAGCAGCCTGAGGGTGTTTCCATTGCCCTCTCAGGGCTTGTGAACCCCAGGACAGGCTATCTACTGGTATAAATTACAGAATCACAGAATCAGTTGCCTCATTTAGTTTGGAAAACACCTCCAAGATCGAGTCCAACCATTAACCCAGCACTGCCAAGCCCACCACTAAACCATGTCCCCAGATGCCACATCTGCACAACTTTTAAATCCCTCCAGGGATGGTGACTCTAACACTTACCTGGGACAGTCTGTTGCCAGTGCTTGGCAGCCCATTCAGTGTAGAAAGATTTCCTAATATACAGCTCAAACTTCCGAGTGGTCAGCAAGGCTGCTCCTGGGAGGCACTGACTGCCAGCAGGAGTAAAGGCCCACCATGCATGAGGCTTTAAAATGCTCCAGCTGGTCAAAACTATTCTGCCTGTTGATCTCCATTTCAAAGGAAATTGAAAGTCACTTGGAGAAGTTGCTGGTAAATAATGGCTGGTAACATCCTTGCTGGTGGTGTTGAATGCTGTGAAATAGCAGCAAAGGGTTGAATTCTGCCACCCATTATCATTTTAGGCATTTCTTTTGTTCAGCTGCAGAGCCTGGCGGGGACCAGGAGAAAGTCTCATCCCTCTAGTCCTCTCCTTGTAGCTGCTTTTATTAAACAGGCGTTGTTCCTGTCAACGTGAATAAAGGGAAGAGAGAGCAGTTCATTATCCAGTGTATCACTTTGAGTCTAATACTAATTAAAAGCTTTGCCATCACTTCTCTGGAACCTATTCTTAGAAATTATGTAAATTAATTGGAGTTTTGAAGAGGAGCATATGCCAAATCCTGAGTAATTCCCTGCTGGCTGAGGCAGCTCCAGCACTGGAACCGGAGAATGGCATCAGGAATCTTTTTTCTTTCCTTTTGTGGCTGCAAAAATACAAAGCTGCTTTGGTAAATTCTGATGATTCTCTTTAGCCAGTATACAAGGCAGATCAAATATCCAGACCCTGACCATTTTCCAGAGAGGTACAATACAAAGGCTTTTTCTCCATGAAAGCTTTTCCATCTAAAAAATTACATTTAACACAGAAAGGGATTTCACTTCCACAGCATTTCTCCAAAGAAATGCATGTTCCTGCCTCAAAGAGGATTTTGACCCTCAAATGGTAGACGTACTTAAGATCCCATGAACTCCCCTTGTGATTTCACTCTTGCTACTAATTTAATGGGGGAAATATTTACTTGCTGTGCTGAATAACACGGGAGATCTGATCCCTAGGTACACAGCGCCTTTGAAGTAAAATACCTTTAAATATTATTAGTGCCTTTCCCCCCTCTGTCTGATTATTTTTCCCCTTTGAAAAAAAGCCAAAACAAATAAAAGGAGAAACACCAAAGAAAATGATTCAGATAAAAAGGAGAAGCAGTATAGTTCAGTGTCAGTATATTTTGGTCTCAATCAACAAATCACTTTAAAAGTTGATTAAACTACTTGCGTGTTTAAAGATAAACATGATTAAGTACTTTGGTGGATCTTGGCTTATTACGTATTGAGGCTGGATCTGAGCGTGAGTTGAATCATGGAGCGTTTGTGGGGAGATGCTGATTCCAGATGCACATTTTGCAAAGTTGCCTTTTCTTTACAACCTCACCCCAAGGATTAAGAGACTCAGAGTGTGGATCCTCAGGCAGAAGGAGGCAGCCCTCCAGTCCAAATGCTATTTTTCCTTTAGGGGTCTGAAGTTCAGTGCTGGTGAGGTTGGAGTTTTGCAGCCATCATCTCTTCTCTCTGAAGCCTTCTCAGTATTAAAGGTGGCAGTTTTTGGTAGGACCTCAAAGCTCATTTCCTTCCACTCCCCTGCCACGGGCAGCAACACCTCCCACTATCCCAGCTTGCTGGCCTTGAACACTTCCAGGGATGGACATCCACAGCTTCTCAGGGAAACCTGTTCTAGTGACTCACAGTAAAGAATCTGTTCCTAATACCTGATCTAAATCTGCCTTTTTACAGCTTTAAACCATTCTCCCTCATCCTGTCATTGCATGCCCTTAAGAAAAGGACACTCTAACTCCTGGATGTATGCTCCTTCCTCAGCCATTAATTCCTTGGGCTCTGGGCCATTATCCTTAAATATTCCTGGGTTTCCTTATCATTATTTTCTTCTGCTTTGAGACAAAATTCATTGTAGTTCCGTTGGTCATTTTTTCTGCTTTTTGGTTCTCACTGAAAAGGGCTCCATAACACTGCAGGTTGGTAAGATGAAAACAACCATTCATTTAGCTGTGGTTAGAGCTTGTAAAAATCCTTATCTCTACCAGCAGTTGGAATGTAAGATCCCAAAATAGAAATTGTTAAGCCCTTACAAGTGCAGACAGTTCCTGGGAAAAGAAAGCACAATGAAACGCAACTTCGAATCAATAGAAAATCACTCTAGAACAAGAATACCACGTGTAGCAATGAATGTAGATGGGATTGTTGTTGCTAACCACTTATTAGATAGCAAGCTTTCTGCATGTATTTCAGAGTAGTCTGTGAGTGTGTGCTAAATATAACATCATCTCTCTTTATGCTTGTATTGGCTAATGCACCAGTGGTTTAGAAATACAGTGGGACATTTTTATTGAATGAACACAAAATGCAGTCATTACCCTGGAATTAGGGTGGCAGCTTGTGTGACTGTTAGATAGGGATCACAAGGGATGGAGTAATTAGGTATTAAAACACTGAACTGGTGGCAAACTGAGGAGTTGAATCTGGGTTGCTTCTGAATTTCAGGACTGCATCCTGCATCCCCAGAGCTGCTGTGCAGAACCCTCTGCGTGTAGCCTGTGGGTGCAGCCAGGTTTTATCCCAGGTGGAAGTGTTATGCTGGGCATGCACATGAACACAGCTGCCTGTTTTCCCATCTTGTTCTCTAGTTGCCCACGTTTTGGGTCTGAGTTCACTGTCCAAGCCTTCATCCATTTCCATTGTCCTGGCTGGAAAAAAATACCTTTCCATCTTGCCATCATGGAGACCAGGTGCTTATTTTGGTGCCCTGCAGGTGCTGGACAGGGTAAATCAGGGCTGTGCTGAGCTGTTTGCATCCATCTTGTGCATTACTCTGGGGGGCTTCAGTTTGGGTCTTGGCACCTCTGGACTCTCAGTTGCTCCCAGAGGGTGGTGGCTGTCAGAGGTGGAGAGGCTCTGCCCACTGGAGATTTTCAGGCAGCAGTTTCTCAGCCAGGTCCTCATTTTGGTGAGCACAATCTCCTTGTGGACCAAGTTCTGGTTGGTGCTGCTGCTGCTGGGGTGGACATACCCTGTGCTTTAGGTATGATGGGCTTGGTGCTGTAGATGTGTCCTAGGACTGAGGTTGTCCCCTCTCTTTCTGTGGTTGGGTTGGTGTGAAAAGAACATAGGACCAGTTAAGTTGAGAAAACCCACATGGATGCCTTTCAAATAGATTTTAAGATGTATTGGCTCCTTCTTGGTGTCACCACGTGTTCCTCTTCCCATAGGACCATGCTGATTTGAGAAACCATTTCTTCACTGTGGGGATGAAGCTGGAGGCAGTGAATATGAGGGAGCCATTTCATATCTGTCCTGCATCAGTGACCAAGGTGAGTGCTCAGAAAGGAGGGTTGAAAGGAGCCTGACTGGGAAAACCTTCCTGATTTCCACCACCTTTAGAAAAAAAACAAGAGTGATACTTAAATGACTGGAGAACACATTAAGAAATAGGTTTAAAATCCATGGATGTTCCTAATTAATTCTTTATTTCCCATAAGCATCACCAGCTAATTCCATGTACTTAAAACCAGTGGGGATGAGCATGTTCATCTACCACTTGCATGCAAAAAGAAGGATCCCTCTTTTGTCTTTGTCTCCCCTCCATCCATATGCATTTTCCCTGTACATCTGAGAAACCTGCAGAAATGAAACAGCTGATTGGAGGTTGTAGCTGGATATTTAATCCACACACTCAAATGCAAGAGAGAGGAAGGCTCTGGGGTCTTCAGGATCATCTGCAGTCGCTACTCAACTTTGGGACCCTGAACCTCAGCACTTTCCATTGTTCCATTTCACCTATCTCTAAAATAGGTTTATCTCTAAACCTATCAGACTTTGATCCCTTGGGTAGGAACACTTGGAAGGTTTAGGTGAGAGCAAATTATTTTCTGTAGTTTGATCCCCAGGTTTGGCTCTTTCAGGTTTCTGCTTTACCTAATGTTGCAGCAAATCTAACTCCTGATTTTGGTCTATTCTTTTTCACCCCTTAGGTTTTTAACAATCATTATTTACAAGTGACCATTGATGACTTGAGACCTGAACCCAGCAAAATCTCGATGCTTTGCCATGCAGATTCCTTGGGGATCTTGCCAATACAGTGGTGCCTTAAAAACGGAGTCAATCTCACACCTCCCAAGGGTTTGTATTCCTTCTGAATGATATTTGGGTTTACTCTGAAGGACATTTGTTTGTTATTACCACAATTTTATTAATTTAGAATAAAATTTAGAATTTTATGTTATTAATTTAGAATTGTGGTGGTGGTTGTTGCAGAGCATCAGCTGAAGTATCTCAAGACAGAGCAGTTCTCTGGAGTGACTGGGGCTGTTCTGGCTCCTACCAGCCCATGAACATCTCAACAAATGTGTCTTGTGGTGGATTGATGTCCCTGTGCTTTGAAGCTTGATTCAGGCTTGTGAAAACCTCATTAATTCCTGTGGAATGAATCCTAGCAGTTCTTTGTGTGTGTAGAGAGCAAAAGGAGCATTGAAAGTCCAGTCACTGTAGAGGCAAACCCTGTTTCATCCACCTTGGTAAAACACTGAGGCCAAGCAAAGCTCCTAAATTTGAATGTCTGAGCTAAAAACAGCTGCCTGCCTGGGAATGTGGAGGGATTTCCTTGGCTGTTTCAACAAATCCCAGGGCACACTGCAAGCCGTGTTAGGTCAGAGCCGGGAGAAAGAGCGTCCAGCCCTGCTGTTCCTCAACTTTGTATCAGTGGAGTTAATTACAGCTTCAGACAACCACCTGTGGTGCCCTAGCAATATTTCTTTGCTTGAAAAATGTGTTGGTTCCCTGGAATTTCAGGTTTTTGAAACTGGCTGGGTTGTTGGTCTGTTGCCAAAAATCAGTGTTGCTTGGGAAAAAGAAATGCCTAAAACAAAAAAAAATTTAAAAAATCAAGCTTAGTTTTGTGTGTGAACTTCTGTCTTCATTTTGGAAAAAGCATGATGCTGCCAAGGGAAGGGAAGGGTTATTCCCTACCGGATCCAGAATCCTCGTATGTATATCCAGAGTTCTTCTTTAGCACGTGTAATTTGAAATTCCCACCAAAGTCCTGGAGCCCTGTGCATGCAGCTTCATGTGGTGCATCCATGATCACTCTGCTGCTTCTGCTGGCATAAATCAGCTTCAGCTCTCTCTTGCTGAAACCCAGGTGTAGTGATAATGCCTGTATAAGCACTTACTTGTACTGGCCGGAAAAGTTGCCAAAAATGAAAATAAATGGAGTATTTTGGGTTTTTTTCCACCCAAATTCACTTGCAGCTTGCCCCAGGCTGGATAATTAACTGAAGGAGACCATAGGCTTAAAAATTTCCAATCCATGCTGATACAAAGCCTGTCTGAGATGGTGTTTTATGGGTCAAGTGTGTGTGAACTATCTTTAGATGCCAGCATTTTAAGACATATCTGAAGCATCTGTCATGTGAATATTTTTTGACTTTGCCAGGTCTAGTGGGAGGTCTCACTGCCCATGGCAGAGGGGTAGAACTGGGTCATTTTTTAACCCAAATCATTCTGTGTTTCTGTGTTTCTATGACTTCATGTGATGTCTGGTTATTGGGATCCACCTGGGCATCTGAGAAAGTACAGAAAGTCTCTTCTTATTCCCCTGGAGAAAATCAATTTGCTTTCTGCTGTGAGATCAGAAATCCTGGGGGGAAACTATTAAAAAGGCATGAAGCCAGTGGCAGATAGATACATTCTATGTGTTGCTCTATTTTCTATACTGTGTATAAGGGCTGCATGTCCAAACTGAATTTCAGCACCTTGAAGCCTTTTCTATGGGCAATACATTCTCTGAGTTACTAAAATGTAATCAGATCTTAGAATGAGTTATTTGAAAATAAACACAAGCTAAACACAACAAAAACCCCATAAACCACCAAAAAAAAGAAATCGGATGGAAAGTGAAAAGCATCCAAACCCCTGGTTAATTTAGGGTTGACAAGGAGGTTTTCTGATCTCAAAATCAAAGGTTTTTTTCATCAGAACAATGTACCAGGTTGGATATTGGAGTTCAGAGTCCTTTATTTGTCTGATATTCATTCTCTTGCCTTTTTGCCTATCAGGGCTTTATTGAAGACAAACAAAGAGTAAATGGGTCATGAACAGGAGGTGCAAATATTTGCTACTTGAAATAGAGAGCAGTATTTTCCTGTACAGTGCCAAAAATGAATGCCCATTAACTGCTGCTGTATAAACATTGAACAAGCTCTGTTTATATTTATTAGAGCAGGATTTATAGACCACTTCCCTTTAGAGTCACAATCATTGTTTTATGAGCTATTAAGTGGGGGAAAAAACATTTTGATAATGCTCCTAGTTGTAAAGCTTACTAAGGAGAAGCCACTTCCAAAAACCTCCAGTACATTTGTATTGTTATATTTGCTTCTGATTAGGCTGCTGGGCTCTTCCATGCCCAGAGCTGAGATGGCAAACACGGTGAAGGTGTTGAATGTTTGAGGAGCAGTGGCTGAGTTGTGCAGACACAACTCTCAGTGTTGTCACCTGGGCTGAGCCTTCCAGCTTGGCAGGGTGTGTGTGCCGTGTGCTGATGGAGGCACTGGGTACCTGGTACCTCCCAGTGTGCTCAGGGAGGCAGCTGGGAGCAGGATCACACAAGCAGGGAATCGGTAAGGTAGGAAAAGACATCCGAGTTGGAACACCAGGTCCAACCTTTGGTCGCCACCTGGTCAGCCAGCAAAGTGTGGAGTTGTTTCTTGACCACTACCAGGGGTGGGGACTCCAGCCCTTCCCTGGGCAGCCCATTCCAAAGCCTGACAACCCTTTCAGTGAAGAAATTCTTCCTAATATCCAACCTGACCCTCCCCTAGTGCAGCTTAGTGCCATTTCATCTCCTCCTGTCCCTGTTCCTGGGAGCAGAGCCCGACATCCCCGGCTGTCCCCTCCTGTCAGGGAGTTCTGCAGAGCCACAAGGTGCCCCCTGAGCCTCCTTTTCTCCAGGCTGAGCCCCTTTCCCAGCTCCCTCAGCCTCTCCTGGGACTCCAGCCCCTTCCCCAGCTCCATTCCCTGCCCTGGGCATGCTCCAGCCCCTCCAGGTCCCTCTGGCCATGAAGGCCCAGAACAGGACACAGCTCTGGAGGTGCAGCCTCACTGTCAAAAGGCCACAGACACATCAGGCCTTACTTGAAGTCAATTCCTGGGTGTTCCCCTTTTGGAATCCTCCTTGTGGTGCTGCAGTGAGTTATTCTTATCTCCCCAGCTGCTCTCCTGGGTTCCATTCCTGTTGAAACCTAAAGGAAAAGGGCTTCCAGTGATTCCCGTGGTGCAGGGCTGAGCTAGCAGATGTTTGTGTGGTGACAACAAGGCCAAGTTTTTTGTACCTCACTAAAACACCTCTAATGTGACTTTTCCATCCAGTCTGACAAGATCTGTGTGGCTTAAAATTGAGATGCAAAACCCATCCGTGAATGGTTTAAATTGGAGATAAAAAAAGAGATGGGGAAGAAGTGTGAAAAAAATTCTGTTGCAGAAATTGTTAAAAAATGGTGCAAGGATATTTTTTTGTATTGAAAAAGAACATTCTTTATAAGTAACTGTGCTTTTTTTCCTTCCCCGTGCATGTTTAGTTTTTTAATTATTATGCACTTTAATGCCCCACAGAGACAGGCATCTTAGCTGAAGGCTTTATCTCAGTAATTTGTTTGTCATGAATGCAATTATTAGGATTAGAAATCGTCTTATCCAAGATACTTGGATCTTAGCAGGATGCTTGGCACGTTGTTTTCAAAAAATTTACCTCCTTTTTTTGGGATCTGGCAGACTGATAGGGGATTACACTCAGTATTCCAGTCCTTGCCTATGAAAAAAAGCCACAATTTTCATTGTCATAAATGATTCATTCACATTTGATCTTGAGTGTCCCTTTTTGACTATCAAGGCAAAAGGTATTTAGGGATGTTCTGTGAAATGAGGCCAGGCTGACATGCCAGGAAGGGAGATTGAGGGGAAAATTTGGCCTTTGGGTGACTCCTGAAACTTTCCAGTAAGAGTAGTTCTGCAGTAATGTCATTAGAGTATCCACAGGCCCCTGGACAGGATTAGCACTCACTGGTTTCAAGCACTGCAAAAACAGAAACTAAGAGGCAGGCAAAAAAAAAGTCCCTAAAAGCAAATTAAAAAAACCCCAACATTTCTGTCCCAAGAATTTATTGCCTAAATTGCCAAGTAAGAATAGTGGATGAGCAGAGGTCTGATGTGTCTTTCTGTGATGGAATTCCTTGAGACATGCTCATATAAAATAATCCCTTTATTTTACCTCAAAGCAGAGGCTGAAGGGATGATCTGCTTGCTGAGGCTGGGAGATCTGCTTTCATTTTCCTGCTCTGCTCCAGATTTCTGTAACATTCTTACTGGGATGGGATTCAGCTCACACACCCTGAGCTGCTGTGGAGAGAGGGAGGGTACATGAATGAAAAGAGAATTTATCTCCTGCTTAGAAAGAGAGGATGGATCAGCTTCTCATTGTGTTGATCCTCTCCCTGTCCACTCCTGAGGGACCAGCAAATAATCCATGTCCAGTTTCATAATCCCATCTTTTAGATAGCTAATAGTAGGAGAAAGAAGTTCATAACTAGCCCCACATGGAAATTTGGGACTGTGGCACTTCTCATTAGTTATGAGTTTGTGAAAAGTTGGGAGATGCTCACAGAAAAGGGGAAAATAATTATGTTATACTGCTTTTTAATGGAGACTTGTCAGTGAAATGGTGGAGGTGTGTGAGTGGTGGTTGGAGAAGCCATTGGCTCTCAAGGTAAGCAGCAGCCCTGCTGACACTGCACTGAGGCAGGATGGGATCATCTACTTGGGGCCCATTTTGTCCTCTTTCTGTGGTGTGCAGTGGTGGCTGATGGTTCTTTTTGTTTTGTCCTCCTGCAGGTTACTCTGGCCAGGACTTTGACTGGGCAGACTACCAGAAGCAGTGTGGAGCCGAAGCAGCACCTCACCTGTGCTTTAGAAATGTAAGTTCTTCCTTTTGCTCCTCTCCATCCATGTGAGATAAAACAGCTTTCACAGAAAAGGTGCTGCAAGGCTCTGAGAGGTTCCCCCAGAGCACCATGAAGCTGCCTTAGGAAGGAAACTGGGGGAGTGTTCCAGGTCTCCATCCCTAAAAGAGGAAAAAATCTATTTTAGTCTTGTCTTTGTCTGTAATTATCCTGCTCTTCATCCCCTCTCTGGTTTTGTACAGCACAAAAAGGATCTCAACTGTTACTGCAATTAAATCAGCTGCTACTAAAAATAATTTAGGTAAAGAAATTCCATACTGTCATTTGCCCCATTTTACAATTTAGATGTTTTCTCTGTATCCCAGGGGAGATACATTTAACCAAACCACATGTATTAAAATGCTAAATGTTGAAAATGCATGAGAGGATGGTTAACCCTCATGGATGCTCTGGATGATCAAGAGTTCATGTCCTTTCTTGATGCAGCAGCCGTGATGTGAGAGTGATGGATGCCATTAAGATTTCACAGCTTTTGAAATCATCTTTTGCAGGCTGTTCTATGGCAATGACAGTCCTGTGTAGCTTGATCTGACAGGTATTCATTGCTTGGGGAAAGGCAGATGTAGCCTTCTACCTTTTCCAGCAACCTGGTGCTCTCCTTCATGTGCTCATCAACTGATGGAGGTTGAGATCCCATCAATAACTGAAAATACTCCTGATGGTGGTACCTAAATGCTAGTGGTGCACCTAAAATGAGCACAGAAGGCTTCGCAAAATTAAGTGGTGGTGTGAATGATGGACAGACAGGTTTCTGTAGGAATTGTACAGCTTTTCACTGGGTTCAGAAGTCACAGGAGTGAGGGTGTTTTTTGAAAGCAGAATGGAGACAGGCACCAGCTGTGGTTTTCCAAGGCCATCCTCATCTGTGGTAGCCCAGGGGCAGCCTGGCTTGGAAGCTTTGATAGTGAATTGGTGAATTTTTTGTTGACAAACTCAGAGGACCTGTGCCATGAACAGTCTGACTTGAGAGTCAAACCTGAGTAAGGATTTCTTTGCCCTATAAAGAGCCCCTTCCTGAAGGGACTTAAAGCAAAGATTTCCAGCAGTCCTGAGGGAAGCTGGACAGTGCTGCATCACACCACTACAGTGAGGCTATTTTTGCATTTCTCTTCTGCAAGCATCCCCACCTTTCCTTTATATCTCTTTTCATTTTGCCAAGTACTGGATCTCTTCTCTCAGCACTGGCAGCCTTGAGGACAGTCTCTGCATAATATCCTCTAAGATTAACTCAGGTCTGAGCATTTTTTGCTCCTGTTTTTTTAAGGAAACATTCACCAGATGAGCATGTGTCTCTTATCTTTCACTCTTAATAACACAACTGTTTTCAGAGGAAACTATTCTGTTGTCACTTGTGCAGCCTCCTGGCTGGCTGGTCCCCTTCATTTGTGGCTGTGAGGGGGTCTTTGATGGAAGCTTTTTGCATCTGCCACCTCGTGCAGCCAGACGTGGTGCTGGCAGCGGAGGTGCTGTAGCTGTTTCCCCGGGAGGGATTTTTAACAAGGAGAGGCAGTTATGGAATGGATTGACGTGCCCAAATGCTTAGTAAAATAAACTCCACCTAACTGTTTTGCCATTGATTTTGTATAAATGAGCCTCCAGCACCAAACTCCAATGAAAGGAGCCAGGGTGATGATAAATGGCATTTCCTTGTCAGGCAACATAAAAGGCATTTAAACAAACTCAGCCTGCATTCCTGCAGCCCTGGCCATTAGCAGCTTTTGCAGGGTGAAGCTGATCTGTGTGCTGAGCAAGGCTTGAGGCAGTCCAAGCTGTGTTTGAGAGTAGCAGCATGTTCTTGGATGGAAAAGAGACCAAAGCCATGAGTTTTTAGTCTCAAAGAGCTCTCAGTGGTCATTCAAGGTGAAGTTCCCATGGTCCTTGGTGTTGTACCAATAGGAGAAGGGTTGGATTTGAGCCTGGCTTCCAGTTTCTCACATAGGATGAGGGTTTGGTGTAATTTTGAGCCAGTGGCAATTATTACCCATCCCAATTATTATTAGCAAAAATCTCAGCCCAGAGGGGGAACCTTTTCTGTGCTAATGTGTGCAGAGAGATGCAGAGCAGGTGGAAGAGGGGAGGGAAATACAGGGAAAGGAAGCCCTGGTATGGACACAGGTATTGTATTAGCATGTTTTCAGGGATAGTGATGGGGGAGAGACTGAGAATAAGTGACAGGAGGGGACATTGGAAGGAACAGTGGCAGTGAACACAACTGGATCCATCTACACTCCATCCAATGAAGCTTTGTTCATTCAGCTTAAAATGACAGGATGGTTTGGGTTGGTAGGGACATTAAAGACTGTCTAGTTCCAATCCCCCCATCCCATGGGCACTGCTGCCACCCACTAGATTGGGTTGCTCAGGGGCCCATCCATGAAAATTCAATGAAGAAAAGCATACTTGAAAAGGTTACTCAAATATCTTCAGCTTCAGTCAGCTTGGATGACTGAATGTATGAAGAGGTTTCTCTGGTCTCAGGCGAGATGACTTTTTGCTTTATGAAGTTTCTCCTAGCAAGGTGAGAGATGCTTAAGCCTCTGGGAACCCTCTGGGTAGTATCATATTAACAGAAAATGCATCACTGGCAAACATTCAAACATACTTGGAGCTGATGTGGAGCAACCTCCTCCCAGTCTCCTAGGAGTCAAGGAGAGGAGTAGAACATGACATGCATTTCATCATTGATTTTTCATGTGGATATTGGTGCAAACCTGCTTCATCACGGGCTCCTCTCTCCAGGGTCACAGCCTCCTTTGGCTATCCTTCTCCTCAGACAGGGGTCCTCCAGGGGCAGCAGGTGGGTCTCTACTCCCCCACAGACCCCCATGCGCTGCAGGGGCACAGCTGCCTCACTATGAGCTGCACCAGCACAGCTGTGATTTGACTCTGGATGCCTTTGCATTCTTCAGGGTACTCTGCCCTTCCAGTGGAAAGCAAACCATGCTAAATTTACACTTCCCAGCAGATGGTCTGGTTGAAGTTGTGCAGTGCTGCAGTGCCATGTTTCAGCATTGTCTCTTGACTCTTTCAGACATCCTTCAGCCGTGGCTTCACCAAGAACATGAAGCTGGAGGCGGTGAACCCCAGGAACCCTGCAGAGATTTGTGTTGCTTCCATCACCTCAGTGAAAGGACGGTTGATGTGGCTGCACCTGGAAGGTAAGTGCTCTAAAGGCTGTTTGTGTTTGAGGAATTACATTTACCTGCTCTTTCTCTGGGGGAGCTGCAAGTTCCTCCACACTCCCATCCACATGGTCTTTATCACCATGATAACAACCCTGCCTTCGTTGTACACCTTCATCCTGGGAATGGAAGCTTGCCTCACTTGTGCAACTGAGTCTTCTACAGCAGTTCCCAACCTGATAATTTGTAAAGGAGGAGAGGTCTCTAATCAAAGCCCTTAAAGATGGTAAAAACATTGCCAGGTAACCCAAAGTATTAAAAAGAGTGTTTGCTTTTGGTGGAGCTGTGTGCAATGGCAGGTTTTGGTTTTTAACTCTAAGATAATTGTTTGCCTTCTAGCTCAAGGTAGCAACATCTCATCTGCACCTTGGTTTGGACACAGGGCAAAACTTTTTTTTTTTTAATTGCTGGAATCACCAGTTGTTTGAAGTTTCATTCTCACTAAGGCTGTTGTTGATTTTACACCCATCTGATCAAGGAATCTGACCTGTTTTGGCAACTTCTTTCCTTAAAAGACCAGGTGCCTTCACATATGCCAAATATGTGGATAGATGTAGGAAGAGGGCAACACACGCCCACCTTGCTTCCTTCCCTCATCTCTTTCTCTCTGCCTTTTACTCTTTTTAATTTCTTAAAGGAGTTTTTTTTTACAACTTACCATAAAAAAACTCTGTGTGCATCTTCTTTCTTTTGAGTCCTGATATATAGATGCTTTAAGCTTGGTTTATGTCTCAATACCAGGAATTGAATGATCTGTAGTAAACAGGAAAGATGCAAAAGACTGCAAAAATAGAAAGAAATCTTTGCTGCTGTAGGAATACATCACTACAGCATGCACAGTGTTATGCTAAAAACAGGCATTAAAAAAAAGCACAACAAAAAAATCCTCTGCTTGCAGAGTTTTAAAATAAATGTGGCTTGAAGTGTGGCGTGGGTTTTTTTGACTCCATTAATATAGTGTTGTTTCTAACTGATTATTTATATTCTGGAAGCAGCAAGGCTCCCCAGCTACCACGGGAGCCCCTCACTGAAGACCTCAGGTCCCACCATTTATCACAGGCCTGAAGCTTTCACTGTTGCCCTCCCAGTTTCCCAGTTTGACAGCCCAGGCTGCAGCCATAAACCAGGAGCACAGGAGTTAAGCAGGGCCGGGTTAGACATGAGGGAACATTGTGTGATAAATCACACTTTGTACAGTAGCAAAACCCTAAACTTGAGGGCGAGCATTTAATGAGCAGCAGTGCGGTTCCCCCCGGTGGAGGAGGAGCTCAGGACTGATGGGATGCTCAGTGCTCTCTGCTACTTTATTACTCATCATCTGCATTGTTAATTTTTACTGGTTCATTTTAGATTTTAGAGCTTGAAGCTTTCTGGTGTGAATTTATACAAGTAATAATGCACGCTCCTTGCACAGCCCAGGAATTTGAGGAAAACCCTTTGGTTAATCACTTCTCCAGGGAGGTTTTCTTTAATTTCCCCTTTTACAGTTTTCTAGAGTTGCTGCTCTGTTCTACCCATCCTGTAAGATTCATAGCAGGAAACAGATATTTTCCTCACCCTGTTTCCAGTCTCCTTGTTTTCCCTTTAACCTCCCAATTCCCATGGACATTACTTGCTCTGAGAGGAGAGTGGCATAAAACGCAACAGATGAAACTAATGAGTCTCAGAAAAGCTGTTTTCCACTCCTGTGAGCGAGGCCAAAGGAAGCAGTGAGATGTTGGAAGTGGAAAGCAGGGTTACCAATTGCCAGAGGGCAGGAGCAGTGCCAGGAGGACACAGTACTGTGAATATGTCTTACAAGACAAACAAGGTGTTGGAGGAGAACAGGAATTGTTCTGCTTTCTTGCTCCTCAGGTTCCTGCAGCTGTAAACTTGAGAACCATAATATTCATAGAACTATTTTGGAAATAGGTTGGAAAGGACCCTTCACGTCTCATTTATTGTTGCTTGTAAGCAGGAAAGTACATTTGATCTGGTTATTTTATAACAATTTAGAATTGTAGAATAATTGAGATTTGAAAGGACCTCTAAGATAATTGAGTCTGTTTTGTCAGAATAACGCCATTACCATAATGAAGTAATGGGTTTTCCCAGACGTGGTGACATTTCAGTGGGGTCTGTGTTGATTTCTTGCTCTGTTTAGGGCTTGATTCATGGCTTGCTCACTGAGTGTGTGTCTTGCCACTGACTCACTGTTGTCACATGGACTCCTTACCTGGATTTGTGGTGTCAGGTGAAAATGGAGCTCCCCACTGGAGCTTTCCTCAGGTTAAAACTGAGCAGTGACCACGTGGTGTTATCTCGTAGAGAGCAATGGTTTTTCAGGGAATTTCAGCTGCTGAAATCTTGTATTCAGCAAGCTGTGTCCTTCCCCTATGCCTTCATCCCGTTCTCTTCCCCATATCCCAGTGGAAGAGACATGGTATTTTCAATGGATAGTGCATGAACATGAGGAAGGGCTCAGAGAAACTCCATGAAGTCATCTCTGAATCCACACAGACATCATGATTGCATTTGTTTTGTTATTTCCTCCAGCAGTGTGATCACCAGCACCTATTTCCCTGCCTCCTTTGGGTTTTTCATGCAGCCACACACTCTCAGAGCAGCAGGTTTATTACTGATCCAAATGCTGCACCTCAGCCTCGCTGCTGCTCCCATCACAAAGTTCAATTACTGTTTCAATTACACCACAAGCCCTTGATGAACATACATTAGTGGGAAGCTCCCTGTAGGCATCTGGCTGTGCACAGTCAAACAGTTGCTGCCCTAAGCAGGAGGCAAAGATGTTTTAGCAGATGCCAAGGCGAGGGTGATGCAGGGGAAGCTGCTGATCTTTTGGTCCCTTTAATTAGGAGATCACCCCATGCTGCTGCTGGAGCTGCAGCTGTCTGTCCTGGGGTGGAATTGGCAGAGGGAGGAGGTGAAGTTGCTCCAGCTGTGCCAGCACAGTTGAACTTGAATTTGAGTAGTTAAAGTGTGCCTTGACTCAGGACACAGAGGTTTTTTTTGGAAGAACTCAGAGCCAGCAGGAATATCTTCACTGGATTTTGAGTGGAAATCAGGTAAATTAGGAAAAAAAAGTAGGAAAAATTTGCTTCACTGAAGGGGTGGTCAAGCATTGGAATGGGCTTCCCAGGGTAGTGGTAGAATAACTGTCCCTGGAAGTGTTCAAAAAGCATGTAGATGTGGTGCTGAGAGACATGGGTTAGTGGTGGGCCTGTCACTGATGGGTTAATGGTAGGGCTTGATGATCTTGCAGGTCTTTTCCAACCTAAATAATTCTTTGGTTCTGTGAGTGGGACCCAGATAAATGAAGATGGGATATTGTCTTCTAAAGAAGCTGTAATAACCAAATTGGAAGGTAATTGCTTTAAATAGAGACTTCAGGTGAAGTTTAGGAGTCAGCATCATGCCAGAGACCTTGGTGCATGGTCCTACATGGGATTTTTATACTGTTCTTCTTCTGTTGGTGATCAGCTCTTGTTTCATGTGAGGAACCCAAGGAGAATTCATGGCACTTCTGGACAGAAGAGTGGCCACCTTCCACCCTTAAAAAATGGGACTCAAGGGCAGAGCTGCACAAAAAAGCTTCAGGGGAGCTGGAACATAAAAGCCTCTCTCTCACCATATTTACCACCCTGGCAAAAGCCTAGATACATTCTCTTACCATTAAGAGCAAGCATTCAACAAGTCCTTCTAACTCAATTATGCAACTTTACAAAATATCCAGGGGTCAGCCTGGCCGTCTTTTTGAGTGAAGTTATGTATGTTTAACCTCCCTGGCTTTTGTCTGCTGCAGTGCACACCCTCAAAGTGCTGTTGATGGGGTTTTCCTCTGAACCACATTGCACTGTAAGTGCAGCAGCTCCATCTTTGCTGTCTGTGCAAAACTGAGGATGAAATGGTGCCTGATTTTGGTGCAGGGAAGCAGATTTATTTTTACACATTCCATCATTCACTTCCCCAGGCTCGTAATGGGTGCTTGAACGGCTCTGAGCTTGGTGTTCCCATGCCTAACTCCCATTATAAATTTGTGTTTATAGGTTCACAGATGCCCTCTCCTGAGTACATTGTTGATGTGGAGTCTATGGACATTTTCCCTGTTGGCTGGTGTGAAGCAAATGCTTATAACCTCACCCCACCACACAAAGCTGTTTGTAAGTACATGGAGACCTGAGCAGTGCAGATAGTGCATCAGTAGATACATCAAGGATGTTTCCTAAATTCTGTAATCCCATTTTTGACACTATCCAACCTACCCAGCAGACCAATAACCAGGCTGGAAGTGATCTGCAATAAACGGTGATAAATCTAATTAGTGACTAGACTGGAATTATGCAGCGCAATTTGTATTTGTCTCTGTGATCAGCCCCTCCAAAAATGGAGTTGTCTGTGCTGGTGAAGGCTGTTCCATGGTTTGGGATTGCACAGTGGGTTTGCAGAGGGGTTGTTGGTGAGTGCGGTTGTCAGAGGGAAACCAGGTTCACTCAGGCAGCTGAGTGGATTAGGGATAAAGACCTCAAATTGGAAAAAAAAAAAAAAATCATAAAATATCAGGTGGAGTGGACATACAGAGGTCATCCAGGTGCCCCTTTCCAAAACAGGATCTGCTCCATCTAAATGGATAAATAATTGCTGCCATTCTGTGATGGAGTTTCTGCCCTTTCCCAGGGTATCTGTCCCTTATTTCACTGCCCTTGCCAGCTCAGAGATTTTCTTAGTGTTCAGTTTAAATCCCCCTACAGCACAATTAAGCCCCCAGTATTTTGTCCTGCCTCCAGTGCATATTAAGACAAATTTCTTTCCTTTCTATTTGCATTTCAAGGCAGTTCATGAAAGCTCAGTGGCTTGGTGTTCTGTTCTAACACATCCAATCTCAAGCCACCAGGTGAAAAATTTGCCTCACTGTTTATATTAATTAACCTCTGAAAGGCAAATTTTAAAATGTATCAGCCCTTCTGAAGAGTTAAATAATGCTTAAGTTAAAAATCAGGCAGCCAGAGCCTAATTTAGGAGAATACTGCTATGGCAACATTATGCAGCCTTATCACAATTTATAGTTGGGGATAAATTATGCTGGAGGTAATCATGCTTGTAAAATGTAATCTTATCCATATGTGTTTCTGTATGGAAAAATATTTGTGTTTTTATTTTAATTTTTTTTCTTTTATGCTGATCCCATAAAACACAATATTAGCATTCCAGAGGAAAGATTAAATGTATTATTACATCCTTAAAGTAGGTTTTAATGATGTAGTGATTTACTTAAAAAATACCAAGAAAAAATGGTGATAGTAATTAAGTACCATTTCATTGTGTTCGAAGTCGTTTTATAGTCAGTGCATTTACACAGCTTTTTATGCATTCTGGGTGTACTTAACAGGACAGAAGGGTACAAAACTATTTCTTTCTTCCTTTCTTCATTTTTGCAGTGCGCAGGAAGAGGAGAATTGCAGTTGTGCAACCAGAAAAACAGTAAGTTGTTTTGGGGTTTTTTTTATTATTTAAGGTGGTGTTTTTACAGGAATGCATCGGGTCTTCCTGGGGGATAATACACAGCAGCTGTGTAGCTTGGTAACTACTGCCCAGATACTGCAGCACAGCCAGCAAGAGGATTCTTTTAAGGCTGAAATATTTGTTAGCATATTAGAAAGTCTACAACAGCAATTTTTTTACTGGCTGGGGCTGTACAGCCCCTGTCTGAAGGCCAGCAAGGGATGCTTAGGGAGGATGGACATGTACCAGGAGGACATTTCCTTGTCTAGCTCTTTCAGCGTGTAGAAACCTGAATTTAAGGGGTTTAAGGGGAGGATATTTGAAGCCTGGAGGTCTAAAGCTGACACATCAGAATGTATTTTTAAAGAAGGGCTGGATGTGGCTCCTTCGTCTGCAATACCCTGGTCTGTGATCAACCTTGTGGAAGTGGAATTGTGTTGGATGTATCTCCATTCCTCACCCCAGGCTGTAGGTGGTGTATCTTTTGGTCCAGCCTGAGGACTGGTTTTGGCCCTTTGTCCTGTCTGATGATATTAAATACACCAAATACTCTACTAAATATACCAAATTTCTCTTTTAACAGGTTACCATCCGCAGTGCCTGTTGAGAAAATACCTCACGACCTCTGCCCAGTTCCTCAGCTAGACACAACAGGTAAGGATCCTTATTTCAAAGAGCCATGTCCTGTATGGAAGGGGAGGACCCCAGAAAGGCAATGAGTTGTCATCAGGGTGGGGACACGGAACTACATCCTCAGGGGGTGTAAGGTGGAATGAACCCACCTGATGTGCAGCAGGTGAGGATCTGGTTCTCCACGTGCTTTCGGGGGCTATCAGAGTTCCCCTGGAGCTTGCCCATTTCAGATGATGATGTTAAGACAAGGCTGATGAATCTGTCTGGTGGAGAAGGGTGCAGGTTGTTGATTGACACCAATGAAATTGGGTACAGCAGGACCTGGTGGGTCCCCTGTGTTACATCAGGACTGTGTGGTGTGGCTGCTGCTTCTGCTAAAGGCAGATTCCTCTCCCCTTTAGCAGCAGCAGGAGGCTTTGAGTGCAATATTCATCCAATTAGTGGTGTAAACCCAGTGGCAGGGACAGGATTTAGATCCCTTTACTTCAGCAGGCTGTGGGACATGCTGGCATTGCAGCCAACACCCCATTACAGTCAGATGGGGAGAATCAGGGTCTTTTGGGGTTTGATAACCAAAAAAAGTGGAAAATCACTTGGAAGGTATGTGAGCCACATCTAGAAGTTCCCATTTCTCTCCATGGGCTATAAAAGAGCCCAGAGTAATTAGCCCAGACAAGGAAAACTGCTCTGTAGACCCATGCTGGGTCAGGGAATGGCACTGCAGGGCTTGTGGGGTTGGACAAGAGCTGAAAAGGGGTTACTAAGGCTCTTCACTGAGAGAATGTTCTCCCTGAGCTGGTTCCCTGTCTTTGAGGCTCAGCTCATTCATCCCCTCCTGGCAGGTTACAGTGAGTTGCTCATGTCCCCCTGCAGTGTGAGTTCTGGAAGTGCCCTGGCTCATGTCATGGATTAAATCCTTTCCCAGTCCTCCTTTCAGCAGGGTGTGCAGCCAAATCAGTCACTGTTTAAAACACTTCCTTTTCCTGTGCTGGAATGGATTTGAGTGACAAAGGCTTCCCTACCCTCTATCCTAGGGTAGAATTTTGTGCCTCTTTTATTCTCCTCCCCTTCCTCCCACATCTAGGAGGAAGAAATGCCCTTGATTTATGATGTAAAAGTGCTGCAGGCACCTCACTGCTGCTTTCTCCTTGCAGGCACCATCAATGGGAGATACTGCTGCCCCCAGCTCTACATCAACCACCGCTGCTTCTCAGGTCCATATTTAAACAAAGGCAGGATCGCAGAGCTACCTCAGTCTGTGGGGCCTGGCAAGTGTGTGCTGGTCCTCAAGGAGGTATGGAGCTCCCCCCTCTCTTTTGGGGGGATTTCAGAGGAAAGTGTGAGTCGTGGGGAGTTCTGTTGGTTGGGAGCAACTTCAGTGTGTGTTGCCATCAACACAGGAGCAGATAGCAGTGTCATGGAGACATGGGCATCTCATTTTGGAGGCGTAAACAACAAGGAGCAGGACACTTGCAGTGGCCCAGCATTGGTCCATGTTACTTTGCAGAAAAAAGTCAAGCTTACATTGGCCATAAACTCAAGCTTGTTCTGACTGTGGGAGCTAGTTCCAAATTCTGGAAAAGGTGAAGAGGAAACATTCACGGTGTTGCTGTAGGGGAGATACACCTGATTCCTGGTAGCTGTTGCTGAGGTGAGAGAGGTGCCAGCAGCTCAGAGAGCCATGGACATGATGGAGGTAAAAAATAGCAGCACAGTTGAAGTTCCTGATGGTCCTCAGCCCTTTGCACCCAAGGTCTTGTCCTTACCTCCACCACTGGTGCAGTGAAGCATCCTCCTGTGTGTGTGCCCTTGAATCCCAGTCTTCAGGGAGTAACAAATAACTCTTGTGCAGTGTAGTATCAAACTTACTTTTGCAGCCTAGCTCTTCATTATTCCCAGTGCCAGCACAAGGTTTCTGCTGTGACCACTGGTTTATTGTGGTTTCTTTCACTGTAAGAGGCAAGTGAGGTGGCATTGCCTGTCATTTGACATCAGCTGCAAAGTTTGTCTCATTTCTGAGGTATTTTCTTGGAAAACAGGTTGAAACCTGGAGCCAAATACAGTGGAGAAATCAGGTACTGCCATCCAGCCATTGCACCTGGTCTGAAAAGTGGTGACTGTAAGGTAGCTATTCTGTATAATAAAGGCTGACTTGAAGTTAAATTAAAATAAATACATTGTCGGCTTTAGTTTTAGTTCTGGGGTCAGAATATCTAATAATCCCAAACAGTTCTTTCTTTATACATGCCAAGAACTCCTCAGCAACATTGTAAAATAAAACAAGGTGTCTTCTTAAGACTTCAGATGATGTATAACCACCCATCATAAATATACTGTAAAGATTAATTTGCTTCATTGCTTACTGCTCTTATTATTTTTAAGACACCTTGCTCTTTCTCTGTTTAAAAAGAAAATGGGCTGTGACAAAAGATGCCTTTTTAGATCTTTGATCATCCAATGAAAGAATACCAGATAATTTTTGCTCTCCCTTCTCTGTCCCACAGACACATCAATAACCCAAGTTAAAAAAAATAACAGCTTACTGCCCTGCCTTAAAGCCACCCTGGGATTTAGCATCTCTTGCTGGGTAGGAGGTGTGGGATTATACCTCAGAGGAGGGAAATTGAGTTTCTCCTCACATGAAAGCTGATCATTGAGGTCTTGAACAGGAGAGAAGAGTTGTGATCAGATTTTTAGCTGTATCTTGTCACTGATACCGTGTAAGAAAACTTTATCCAGGATTAAGACTGTTTCAAGGGGGATGGCAATGGGAAGTGTGTGAACACAAAAAAGCTGTGATGGGAAGAAAAGTGCTGAACTGCCCAGTGACATCAGGCACACCAGATAGAAAAGAGCCCCTGTGCACATGAAAATACATGACATGGAGAGCTTTATGAATATCAGGTGCTTGTGGGGTTGGGCAGAGGCTTGTGATGGTGCTGCATGGTACTCGCTCAGCTCTGGTCAGCATTTTTTATAATTTATTTTATCAAAATAGAACCTCACTGATGGATAACAGCAAAGGCTGGGCTTACCTAATTCCCCCCCATGCTCCAAGGGACAGGTGGCTATGCCCAAACCATTCCTGATGCAGAGGGCTGAAATTAAACCCCCAAAATCTCAGTCTGGTCACACTCCAGCCAAAGGAAATTTGACCAGTCTGAGATAGTTGATGTAATTTTCCATCTCCAGAGAAAGTTGGAAACTGGTCTAGGTTTCTTCACTGGTTTTGTTTAAATCACAGTTAATTTTTTTCCTAAAATCTGTTTGTTTGCATTTAATAGAGTGTAATATGAAGTGATTCTGTTGCTAGAAGGTACTGCTGTTATTGTGATGATGGATCTTTGCTGTAGGGTAAAATGCCCAACCCAGTGACTCATTTGAGAGACAAGAAGAGTTAAAGCCAGAGGTTTTAATATAATTTTTTTTTTCCTTCCCTGAAAGGGAAATAATTGTTCTTACAAAACACTCTTTTTTTTGAACAGAGTTTAGAAGTTTACAGAGTCCTGCTGGTGACAAGCCAGCTCTGAGAAAAGTCCTGGCACTGTGGGTGCCTGTGCAGGGCTGGAGTTGATTAGGTGTCTGGGAGAACGCCCAGACAGGGCCACACTGGTGTTGCAGGGCTGGGTTTCGTTTTCTTGCTCATTTCCTGGCTATTCTGACAACTCATACAAGCACCATTTCGCTGGTGAGGGGGCAGGACAGCACTGTTGGTGGAAATGGGTCAGCAAGATGCTTTCTGCCCCAAATTTCCCACCAGCCAGCAGGATGGGTGTAGAAGTGTGCTTAAGCAGAGCTTTCCCAACAAACTCCTGCACAGGGGTTAAATAACTCCCTGGATTTGCTGATCAAGGCACCTGATGAGCTGTGAATGAGTGTGGCAGCTCCCCAGGCACTTGATGTTTTTGAAAACCCTCTTCTGGCTTACTGACATCAGTTGTCAGAGTCCAGTGCCCCTCAGTTTGTGTGGGGGGAGACCAGCAAGAGATGTGGGTGAGCAGCTGGAAGGGCTCACTCAGAAACTGTCTTTTCATAGCATTTTAAAATGGTTCGTGTTGGCTGGGACCGTAAGGATCATTCAGTGCCACCCCCCCTGCCATGGGCAGGGACCTTTCACTGTCCCAGGTTGCTCTAAGCTCCATCCAGCCTGGCCTTGGACACTTCCAGGGATCCAGGAGCAGCCAGGGCCTCACCACTCCCACAGGGAAGAATTTCTTCCTCATATCCGATCTAAATCTACCCTCTGTCAGTGTCTGGTGTCTCTAATTGGACTTTTTTGAAGAGTGGTTTGAGTAATGTTTCCAAGGGCTCGATGATAAATTAAATTTTGCTCCTAGTAAATATCTATCCAAGCAACTCCAGCCAGTGCCATTTCATGGAGTACTCTGTAGCATTAAGTGAAGACCTTGCCTGAAAATGATTAATCCTGTAGGGTTTTCAAAATGCTAGCAAATCCTCAGGTTGCTGGATTTAGAGGGGGGAAAGAAAAACAACCCAGAAAAAAATCAACCAAACAAACATAAACACATTGGTCACTGCAGTATGACCTAGTTATTTTTTCATTTCTGATGAACTGCATTCATGGGTGCTGGATAAACCTAATGTTCATCATACTGAAATCATTTGCAGGCCCCCAAGGAATTAAGAACAGGCGTTAGGTACAGAGCTAAATTAAATGAAAGCCAGTCCAGACTCACTGTGGGATCATTCATGTGCATACAATGCAGAGTGTTCAAACACACGGTCTGGTGCTGTTAAGAGATTTGTTTTCCTTGTGTTTATCTCCCTACGTCAAGTGTAGGCTATTAAAGCTTGGATTACCTGAGCCAATAGCAGGAATCATTTTTATTCTCAGTGACTTTGGATTAAAAGGATTGGCACATGTGTTCTCTTGTACGGAGTGGACACACACTGGGTTCCAGGCACACCTCCTGCAAACTATTTTTGTGGAGACTTCATTACTATTCTGTTAATACAGTCAAAGCACACAACTCTCAGGCTATTGCTGACCTCAAATGTGTGAATTTCCCCTTCAGTGTTCACTGTGTGGTGGTGCATGTGACCTGTACCTGGTTGTGCCTTCAGAACTATTTCTGGTTTTGTTTTTTATTAAACTGGTCCATGATGGGTGCAGTCTGTAGAATCTGCTTTGGGTGAGAGGGTCTGTCACAAAGGCAAAATTACTGGTTAGCAGATTTTTGGGGTTAAACAGCAGTATTTAATGCAGTTACTTTATCAGACTCAGGTGTTGTCTGTAATATGGCAACAATATCCATTCAGGGACCCCTAATATCCATTCAGGGACCCTTCCTCCTTGCATCCAGCACTTAACCTGTGCAGCCAGGATAGAAACAAGCACCTGAAAGCTACTCCTGCCTGTGCAGCACCTGGGACCACATTCAGTGTGGTCAAGGACTGCTTTTAAACCCATCATTGTTGTTGGTTTTATCTCCCCATAGGTTCTCAGCATGGTAATCAATGCAGCTTACAAGCCAGGGAGTGTTTTACGAGAACTGCAGCTTGTGGAAGACCCTCAGTGGAATTTCCAGGAGGAAACACTTAAAGCAAAGTAAGTCTTCAGTGTGTGTTCTTTTATTTGGGAGATTTCAGAAAGGGAACTGACTAGGGGGGGAAAAAAAAAAATATGTAAGAAAAGATTTTTTTTTTCTATTGTGAGAATTTTACTTTTCTAATTATCGTTTTGCTTCATTGAATTATTTGACTCATTCCATAGCAACTTCAGAAATGAAGTATTCACCTGAATGGTTCATTTCTATTGTCTTTCTCCAAGCAGCCATCCAGTGTTTGATGAAGTCAAGTCCTGAGTTTTATGATAAGATGTTCTTAAAAGTTTGGCTATTACTGAATGAACACAATTCCTGTCTTTCTAAATGGAGGCGTATTGCTGCTTTTAAATTAGAGCTCGTCAGGCTAATGCAGAAAAGAAACTGGTGAGAATGAATGGCACCAAAAAAAAGTTTAGACAAATTAGGAAGGACACATTTTTTAGCAGGAGTGTGATTAGGGCAAGGTAGTAACAGATCAGAGATTCAGGTCAAGCTTTGATGCCTTTCTAGGATTTATTCTTCAATTCTCTTCTAAACAGCACCAAAGAACACTGAATTCCTCCTTCCAGCATTAAAATCTACCTATTAATGTCTTCTTTATTTAATGGGCACTATACTTTGGATGTATTTCTACAACCATTGTCTCTCTGAAAGAGGGGAGTCGCACCTAAGCTCTCTCCGGAGTCCTTCTGAAGAATAATTCTTCCCACTTGAAGATGGATGTCAACAAATATTTCTTTGAAGAAAGCTCTCTCTGTTGACTAATGGTCACCTTGACTTTTAAATACTGTAGTTAAATGCAGTGAATCTCACCCTTTGTACTGAACTCTGTAACTCCTTTTCAAAGAAAAGCAATTTTCTCTTGGTTATTTGATATGAATAGCTGCAAAAAACAGCACTATTGATGGCTACTGTATTTGATCTTTGCCCATGCAGATATAGCAGAGAGTTCATCTCTTTCTGGTTGAGAGAGGGAGTTGAGAAAATTTTACTCTGCATACACTTAAACTGCTTTCCTGAAGAAGGATTGCAACTGAAATAAAACTCTACTAGAAACATCGTATTTTAAATTTGCTTCTTTCACCCATGTGGAATGTCAGCCTTTTGTGTTTGTCAGTGGAGATGTTGTGGATGGAAATCTAAAAGTCAACCTCGTACATTCAGATTTTCATATCAAACAGGTCTTTGTCCATGACCTGGTTTTCATTGATTGCAGGATCCCACATCTTGTGCTACAAATATCAGATAATTCACTCCTTCAGGTACTTAGCAGCTGTGAAATCAAGTTGTAGTGCCCAATATTACTTAACATCCTCTCCTGCAGAGAGCTGAGCTTAGTTCGTTTTCCTATTAGCGGTATCCTGAGTAGGATTTTGTTGGGGTTTCCCATTTGAGTGTGGAGATCTGCATTGTGCAAAAGCAGAAATATCTATTTCTTAAGGCTGCTGTCATCCATATTTCTGATGGGAGAAAGCCTGGAAAACGTTCAATTGACCATCCATGGTAACGTTTTATGGCCCCCCAGTCACAGTCCATGTACGTGTTCCTGTGTGCCAGCTGCCCCAGAGGCCTCAACCTCAGCTCTCCAGAGAGTCAGGAAGCATCTTTCAACTTCATTAAGCCACAGAATGGATCATCCCAGGCTCAGAGCTGGGACAGCAAGTTTTGAAGTGATTTCTGAGAACAATAGTGGATTTTCTTCCAGTGTGGCATTGCCCTCTGAGGAGACAAAGCTCATGGAGGCAGCCCCTTGTTCCTGCAGCTCTTTGGCTTCTGTGGCTGATCTCTTCACAGAGCAGTGCTTGCCTGTGGGTAGTTTGAGTCCACTTTTAATAGTGGATGGCAGAGGGTTGACATGCCTCAACACTGACTGGCTACCCTAGCACTTCCTTCTTTTTTCCTCCTTTAGTTTGCTTGAGTTGCTCCATTCAGAGGTTTTAGTTGAATCTGGTTGTTTAGGAGCAGAAAGTAAAACATAGTCATGGAACCAGATACCGTGGAGCATGCAAACAGCACATGACACCTTCCAGCAGGTGTGACAGTGCTCCAGAGTCTTAAATAGAGACCTGTAATGAGCAGCAGAGCCCTGCAACGAGCAACTTCCAGCTCTGTGAGCTCTGGATGGTGCCTGTTGCTAAGGATGACAGCTCCAGAGCCAGCTGTGATGGGACACATCATGTCACCACCCTCTTTCTGATGTGGACTGGCACCTCCTTGGATCTTGGCTGTGCTGTTTGTTTGAAATGCCTGCAGTAGGGTAGAGTAAAGGGATTGGTGAAGAGAAGGCTGCTTTGCCCACTGTCCCAAATGCAAGGTTTTGCACTGCCAGGAATGCATTATCTCAGTCTTGGGGCAGCCTGCATTTAGTTCACTCTGCTGTCATGAGTGACCACTGTGGAATCAATTACGCTCACCTTGCAAAGAAGATAAAACAATTTATATTGTCCAGAGAGATATTTTTGCAGTGTGTGATGGCAGCCGTTTCCCATCAGCGCTGCTGGCTCTGTGTGAGAAGAGTCAAACCTGATTTATTGGTGATGATGAGTTAGAAATGTCAGGCTTGATCCTCCTGAGTTCCCATGAGGGCCAGTTGAAGCTGTCGGCATTCAGCCCTTATAGTTTGATGCTCTTAAGTTCAGTGCCTACATCTTGATTTGCCTTCCCAATTTTACATGAAATGCTTAAGGGACTTCATGCTTTTCAAGGGTTTTCATTTCTAAGGACTGATAATGGGGCTGTTTGGATTTACCCTTTTTTTGCAGGACTTTGGACATAAACAAAAGCCGTGTGTGCAGAAAGTTATCTCCTGGGTCTTGTATGAAGCCCAGTTGATCAAAATAATAAATTTGAGTATTCCTGGGCTCCTTCATTAAGTGAAATCCTGAAAGCTGCTCAAATCCGGTAGCTGAACTCCAGGAATATTTACCCCTATGCCAGACATCATTGCTTATTTATGAGGCATTTCAAAGAAAGCCCTTTCAGTGCAGTTGCTTTAGAAGATTGCCTTTAACTTGTGATAGGTGAGGCTGAGGTGTTTGAAATCTTCTTTGCCTCAGCCTTTGCTAGTGAGGGTTGGCTCTCCGGCTTCCCAGGGCCCTGATGGTGTTTGAGGGAGAAAAGTTTTAGCCACAGTAGATGGAAAAGAATCTAAAGACCCTGGAAGCAAACTGGACGTGCACAAGTGCATGGAAGCAGTTGGGATGCAGCCAGCTCTGCCTGGGGGAAGTGGCCAATGTCATTGCAAGGCCACTCACTGGCGTGTTGGGAAGTTGATGAGGATGAGGGAAGAATCCTAATTTTTGGAAAAAGGCAATTACCACACCCCTCCTTAGGAAGGGCAAGAAGGGGGGATCCAAGTAACTACAGGCTGACAGCTTAACTTTCCTGGAAAGGTTATTAGCCAAATCCTCTTGGAAGCCATTTCTGAGAACATGCAGGACCAGTGGGGGTCTGGCAAGAAGCAAAGGGCGAGTTGTGCCTGATGCGATGAGGTAACTGGTTTGGTGTTGAGGAGGGAACAGTGGAAATTAATTTGTGTTCTTTCTGAGCAAGGCTTTCCAAACCAGGATCAGTGGAATGTCTAAAACCTTTTATTTCTGTAATCAGAAGGAGACTCAGTGAGACAAGGCCTTACAACCAGAGCATTCCAGTGCCCTTTCTGAATCCTGTGTTCAAGAGTACAAAATGCCACTGGATGGTTAAATATCCTTGAAGGATGTTAACTTCTTGTGTTTGGCAGACAGACAAAATAGAAATTTCTTGCAAAGAATAGAAAGGAGTTTTCAGTCCCCCAAAAGGAAATTGAGACTTTTATCTACTGAGTTGTTCAAATTAGTCTCAAGAATTGTCAGAATGCCTTAGAATGGAACTTTTGAAAATGAAGTTCTTAATGTTCTTGGTGTATGACAAGTTTTTCAGCACCAGACTTTCTGTGTCATCACACAGCAGTCCCTAACTGGAGCTTCTAGAAGGCACTATGTTCTCATGAACCTCTAATCTATTTTAGGGAGCTTCAACAGAAGAATTCTTTTGCTGTTCATTTAATATTTTTGCTTCTGGATCAGCAGGCTTATCTTTCATGGAAATAATTCCAGCCTTAAGGTTTTCTCCAAGTTTGGGATCTGAGGGCAGAGAAAGGGGAAGAGGAAACTAATATCCTCTGGTTTTAGCTGAAAAATCTTATTTTAAGAAAAGAGCAGCAATTTCTAAGAAAACCAAAAATATTATCCTTGACACAGCAATTTTCCAAGTCTCCAGTGCTGCCATGCTGTGCATGCAGATAAATGCTGCTTGCAAGTGGTTGTGAAGATAGGAGCCCTGGTATAAAAACATAAATTGGAGCATCAGTAGTTGGTAACTTTTTGAGAGATGCTAATGGAAAAGGTTTTCTGACAAAGGAGCTCCTTCTACATGGCTGTCCTAGAAACAGTTCAGATTACATTTGGTGGTGCCTGTTTTAAGAATCTTTAGTGTGTGAGGAATATGGAAAGTATCAGTAGAACCTGGTTTATAGTTGGAAGAGGGGCTGCCAAGACCAAAATGATGTGAAAAATATTTCTGTGGCCAGTACTAACACCTTGAGTTATTGAGACTGATTGGTGCAGTCATGGAGATCTCCATTTTGCCATCCTCTCAGTTAATTAAAATGTATGTTGCATTCAAAGCAGACTATGAAATCAGTCAGTTGTTCATTTTCCTAGTTTCATCTTTTCCTTTCAGCAGGCACTGTAGTACAATGGGTCCTTCCTGGGCAGCCGAACACAATAGGAAGCACACAGTTAGAGAAAGTCAGCCATCCTTGAATAATACCCATCAGGCTGCTTTCTTAGCTTATAAGAAAGAAGATCAAGAGGCAATTTGATTAGAGTGCTTTTGCTGGGAAACAAAACCAGATGCAGTCTTTTCATCCTAGTGGTGAAAGTCAGAACAAGGACAAATAAATGTGAGTTAAATTCAGATTTATCCAGACATAAAATGAGGGGTAGGTACAGGTGCTCCCTGTGCCATGATTCTTCCAGTGTGGGGGCTGGTGCTCATCTGGAAGTGCTGGTTTAGTCCAAGCAGAGTTATTTGGGTCCAGGTGAAGGCAGCACAGTGAAATCTTGCTTGCCTGTCCCATACTCACTGACCCAACGATCCAGGCTCTCGTTAAACTTAATGGCTCCTGGAGAAGTAATAAGTGCAGGAGTCTTTTCAAACACCTTGAGAAGAAATATAAAACTTTTATAAGTAGATACATTTAAATGCCTCTGGCATTTGGTGGTTTTTGTATTAGGTATTGCCAAGCCCTCCTCAGCCAGCCTGCCTCTGCAGCAGTTTCATAGGGAAGCTGGGATCATAACAGTGCTCTGTACCTGAAAGAAACACTTTTCCCTTTACATCACCTGTCCAGGTCTTTAAGGGTGTGTGAAAAGTTGGCTCACTGAACCATTCATGCATTCAGGTGAATGAATCTGGTGAAGGATTGTCTTGGCACCAAATGGGGTATCAGAGCCTGGCACCTTGCAGGAATGCTCATTAAGATTTTATGCTGAGGTGATAATTTGGATTGCAACCTGAGGATGGTTGGACTGGGCTGTTCTCAGACCCAAGTTTCATTTGTGTTTCCCCATTATAACACTTCATGTGCCACAGTTTCAAACCCTTTACTCACACCCCTTTGTTTCAGAAAGAGCTGTCTGAATGTTTTAACTCTCTGGTCACATATTTATTTCATCACCTCCTTCCCTTCCTCTCCCGTATCTATCAGAAGCTGCTAGGAAACTGCAGATCTTTATACACTGACAATTTCTTTGTTTCATTCTTCCTGGTGACTGTATTTTTGTCTTTCCTTGCCTCCCATCCAGTAATCTTTCTTCCACTGTTGTTCCCTCTTTTTCTTTTGTTGTATGTTACTTTTCCCTCCTCTGAGCACATTTGTAATGCCAGTACCGGGCTCTGGCGTGGTTGTCTCTTGTGTTGCATTCCTTAGGATGCGTAAGAGATGTTTCAAAAACCTTATCTCACTCTTTACAACAGCTTGCTGCTGCTGTTTAATAAATTACGGGGATAATTGGTTTTCCAGGGTTCACATCTACAGTGTGGTACAGCAGGGATGTAACTGTATCTTTCTCAGCCATTTATCGCTCAGAAACACTTTGTATGAAACACTGAAATACATGTTTTAGTGGCATAGCAAATTTAAGACAAACGTTTCATTGCAGGTTTCTGCTCCAAGCATTCCCTGTAGGAATCAGTTTTTAGGGCCCGTTGCTACAGCCCTGTTAAAAAACTCCAGAGACTCCTGATGAGTTCCTCAGGTTTTGTAGTGCCCACATCTCAGAGTGGTGAAGTCATCTGGCCCCGGGTTGGCAGAGATTGTTGTTTCACCCAGATACTTCTTCACAATGAGTTCATCCTGATAGCCACAGCTGGCACCATGAGTCTTGGGAATTGTTGGGAGCTGGAATGTGATATGCGAGCAGGAAGGATGGCAGTGGAGAAAACCAAAGTGCACTGGGGGGCTTAGAGAGCTAGTCCAAACACAGGGTGGTGACCAGAAAGCTCTGCAAGGTGTATAAACATCTGATCATGGGTCGATATATGAAGAGAGACTGCATCCCTCTCCCAAAAACTTTGCATTAGTTCACAATAAGGGCTTGCTGTCCTGTGTAGTATCCTCACCAAGCCTGCTGAGATTTTTTTTCCTTCTCTTGCCACATCTACAGATAGATCCAATGTGAACATAGATTCCTTCCCAAATCATGTCCACACCTTGAATTTGTTTCACACTTTCCTTCCTTGAGTCCATCTGGAATGGAGCCACTAAAAAAAGCAGACCTATTCCACCTGCATTCTCAAGAGAAATGCTCCCAAAAGTCCCTGGGGAGGGTCTCTCCGTGGCAGAGGAGAGTCTGGTCTGTAGCACCACAGGATTTTGCTGGATGGGTGATGTGGGGTCCTGTACTCCTCTCTAGGTACAGAGGGAAGACGTACAGGGCGACCGTGAAGATCGTGCGGACGTCGGACCAGGTGGCGGATTTCTGCAGGAGGGTCTGTGCCAAGCTCGAGTGCTGCCCCAACCTCTTCAGCCCTGTGCTGGTGGCTGAAGTCTGCCCTGAGAACTGCTCCATCCACACCAAAACCAAGTATAGTGAGTATTGGAAAAATGCCTCTTGGTGCTGGAGCCAGAGAAGTGGGAGATGGTGTGTGGTGAAGAGCAGGAGTTGTGTGATATGTTAATACTGATGAGGATTCATCTCATCTAAAAGCAGTTATTTAGTCCTGAGGCCATCTGAGGTTCCCTCAGAATCCTGTAGCAGAAAACTGTCCCTCTCACTCCATCCTAATACATACATCTGTTTGAATGTCATCACTTTTTGTAAGTCTTGACTTTAATTCATATCTAAAGTTAACACAAAGAGCACATAAAAGGAACCTGCAGTGGGAAGCTGAGATTTTAACTTGCTGCATCTGAGATAGCTTTGTTAGGCGAGATGAATCCTCTTGGTAAAGAGTTTCTGGCATGCACACCAGCCCAGGCCAGAACCACAGTGCTGAGGTGCTGGAAGATTTGGGAACACTGACTCTCTGCTCAGAGTGTTTAATATTTAAATATGACTCTTCCTGTTCAGGAAGGCTGTTGTTAAGTGTTCAGTGCTTTTTGTTGTCAATATTACTTGTATTAGTGGCTCTTAAACAGGTCAGGAAAGTGGAAGTGAATGTTGTCCTTCCTCTTCAAAGGTTGCAGAAAGCAATTCATTTAAAGCAATTATTTTGAGTTTGGTGCTGGAGTAGAAGGAGAAAGGTGCTCAGGGGGATACTGAGATCACTGGGTTTCTGTGGGATTCTACACTTGAGCTGGAGTCCTGGCTCCCACAGGTAGCAAATGGAGAGCTGGAGGAGGGCAGCTGGGGGAGCTCCAGCTGAGATTGTCCCATCTCAAAGTTGATGGTTTATGTGTCTGGATGAATTTTTCCTCAAAACTCCAATGATTTGCTGAAAAGGCCTCGGTTCAGTTATGAACTTTGGCATGGGTGCCAGGCACCATTTTAGTTATCCTGGGAGACCCTTGCTGGTGAAGGACAAGAGTGTCTTTCATCCCCAGAGTGTGTCAAAAGACATTTAATACAAACATTTAATGTAAGGTCAGAGGACCCTCACATGCTTAATTTCAAGCTTGGCCACAAAATAACTGAAAGTAATAAAAGCCTGTTCCTTTGTACATGATTGAGGATAGCTGGGCCTCTCCCCTCTCTGCTGAAAACTTTTCAGACTGTTACCTCACACAGAACTGCACTGGACCAAATCTGGAACTTGTTGGCCTCTTTCCCTCCAAATCACTGCTCAGCTCTCCCTAAACACGTTGTTAAATTCTGAAGTCTTCATTCATCATCAATAAATCTGGGTACATAAGAGCTGTAACACTTTGTGCTAGTCCAGCATGACCTACTTATGCTGTACATTTTTTTCCAAATCCATGTATTTGAAAGTTTAAATTGCACTTAGAGTACAGTCCTGAACCTGTAGCAAGGAGCAAGCCAAGGTTCCCTTCTTTGGGTGGTTAAAGTTTTTAATGGGCATTGTGCTTTATTTCTCCAGCTTATTATTATGGGAAGAGGAAAAAAATCATTAAACCACCAATTGGGGAAAATAACAACATGAAAAGTGGCCATGTCAAGCCAGCCAGACGCAGAAAGAGGCGGAAATCTATCTTTGTGCAGAAGAAAAGGAGATCATCAGCTGTGGATTCAAATGCTGCAGGCTCTGCAGAGGTTTGTGTCACACTGGGATAAATCAGCAAAAACCCCGTGGTGCCTTCTTGTTCCCCATTCTGCATATTCCTTTTGGGGGGCATCTCAGCACACCTGAACACTTCCAGTTACTGTTTTGGATCCTTCCTTGTTGCTCTGTTCTTCTAAGGTCAGACTGGTTTTATTGGGGCACTCTGGGGATTTTTACCTTGTTCATTTCAGAGGTAGCAAGCAGATTTTTTGCTCCCACCTTCCCAATGCTCACTGGCTGACATGCTGTCTAATATATCTTTATTTTAGTTCCTTCCTTAAAAGCAGGCAGATGAGCCTGTTGAATGCTTTGCACAGCATTTAGCAGAGTGAAGGAGCTCTGTGATCCATGTCTAAGATCTCCCAGTATTGTAATAAATAATAATAGCTCATAGCCATTGTGGTTTCCAGGAATTGTATTTTTTTTATTTACTATTCCTAATATTTTTGGCTCACAACATCAAGCCATAGCATACAAGCAAATGGTTTGTGTCCCAAATACATGAGATTTGAGGGCTCAGTCTTTGCAGTCTGCTGTGTGATACAGCAGGGTCTGAGCCTCAGCAAAGATTCATGTCCTGATTAAACCTGGAATAGACTTAGTTCTGTGTGGGCTGTTTTCCTGGGGCTTTTCCCATGGTGGCAGTAACAGAGCTCATGTGTGGTTTCACTTCCTCAGCTGAGTGCCAGTGATTGCTGCTTTGTGCAACGTGAAATAAAATTGGTTTACTTAAATTCCCCCTACTTCAGCTAGAGGAGGTTATTTTATTCAGCTTTCAGTTGATTGCCTGCATCTTCATGGCTTGGTCCTCATTTAGGTGTAGTTCTGCTTCATTTCCTCAGATTATACCTGCTTCAAAGGAACTTAAACTTATGTTAAGCCTAAATCAACCATTAGCCAAGTTTTTAAACCTTTCAGCCAGTACAACTATCTTTGTCTAAATTGCTCTTTCACTCAAGACCTGAGCATGGGATTTGGGTGCCTGCTCACATTTGGATCAGAGATAAGCTGTCAAAGCCATTTGGGCAAGTTATATGTATATAAAGTTCAAAATGCACAGTTTCCATCAGTTGGTGTGTGCTTGTAAGCCCTGTGTGACAGAAATAACAAGAATCTGGTATAATACTTCAGATGGAACTTTGGGCTTGACCTCCAGCAGTTCAGTGTTGGGCTGAAAGCAGGGAAATCTGGGTGAAATCCTCTGTCCTGAGTTTTGCAGAAATGTTACTGAAAGAGTGCTATCCTGAACATCTAGACATTTTTGAAAGGCACCAAAATTTCCCTTTTTTCATGATCAATTACACCCAGACCAATTTGAAGCAATGTGAAATTTAAAGTCAAGCCTGTTTCTGATTTTATTTCATCTCAGTCAACCTGAATTTCATTTTATCCTCTTAGTATTTTCCATTTCTCCTCCTGCGCATCTGCAGCGCCACAAGTTTAGAGATACCAGCCCAAGAGAGGAACATTTCATGCCAGATGAGTTACTGCTCTTGGCCTTTAGTTGGGAGGAGAAAAAGAATTTCTTGCCACATACTTTTCCTTTCTTCTGCGTTTTGTAACAAACCTAAATCGGGGCTAATTCACTTAGCACTGTAATGAAAACGTAATTAGGTTAAAATAAATGTTACCCCGGACCAGCACAGCCACGGGAACGCAGTTTGACCCCGTGCCTTTGGATTTGCTGCCGTATCCATCTCCTGGAACGCTGTTTGTCTGTGCAGGAGAGCGAGGATGACGAGCCGGACGCGATGGAGGACGAGACGGGGAGCGAGGAGACGAGCTCGGAGCTGCGCGATGACCAGACGGACACGTCCTCGGCCGAGGTGCCCTCCGCCAGGCCCCGGCGAGCAGTCACCCTGCGGAGCAGCGCCGAGCTGGACAGGCCTCCTCCCACGGAGAGAGCCCGGAGGAGCCGCAGACCCCAGCCCCACTCCTACAGCGAGGCAGAGAAGGGCACACCAGCCAAGGAAGTAAGTGTGTCCCATTTCATACGGAATTCCTCCTAAATTAACCTGCACTGCCAAACCTTGCTGGTCTGAGGAGGGCATCCCTGCCCTGGCTCTCCACGGGAGGTAGTTTGCTTTATGAAGGCCTTTCTTCATCGTTTTTCTCCTCGCAGGAAATTAAGCAGGAAGAGGAAGAGAAGCTCATCCTGGACAGTAACCCATTGGAGTGGACTGTGACTGATGTTGTGAGGTTTATTAAACTCACCGACTGTGCCCCCCTTGCCAAAATATTTCAGGAGCAGGTAGAAGTGATTTTATCATGTGTCCCTTTGTGTCTGTGGTGCCTCTTCTTGCTGGCTGGGCCTGGGGATTTGTTAAGAGATCATGACCAGACTTCAGATCCGTCAGGCCGAGTTATAACACCAGTTCTGGCAAGACATGAAAACCCTTAGAAATTTGAGTCAGAGCCTTGCCAGGTCCTCAGAAAGTCCAGAAACTCAACAGCCTTGTGAAAAACCCTTGTGGAAATCAGGAGTTTTAGTCCTTTCATGCCAAGGTCCACGGTGTCATACTGATGGCCCATAAGTAGGAGCCTCAGTGTAAAAATAGCGTAAAGAATGGTTACCTGATACATACCAGGCTTTCTCCTGGCCACATGGGCTCCATCCTGTTCTAAAATACTGGCCTGGGAAGCAGAAAACTCCTGCTGGAAGCCCAAACTGGCGGACTGAATTTTCCTGTTAACACCTAGGTGTCCCAAGTGTGTAGAAAACCTAACTATGTTCCTTTGAAGATGTGCTAGACAGGTCTTGAATGACCTAAATTCAGGAGATGCCAGTCTTATCCCCATTAAGCAGATAGGTTTGCAGGAGCAGAAGCCAGTGTTCTTCATCTCAAGCCAGTGTGAGTGTGAAAAATTTACGTAGAAAGAGCCATTCCTTGGCTAATGAGTAGCAGCCACTGCTGAGGATAAAGGGCAGCACTAACGAGCTGCAGTTAGGAGGAAGCAAGTGTGGTTAATTAGTCAGTGGTGTTGCCAGCTGCTCACTGAACTGTCTCTGATTCTTCACCATGGATGACTTCAGCTTCTGTGGCTGGGAGAAGGTGGAGGGTGAGTGTGGAGTGAGTGAAACTCTCCGGAGCAGGGTGCTGCAGTTGCTGTCACAGCAAGCTCCAACCATTCATTAACCAGGCTGGAACAATGCCAGGGCTTGGAAGCCAACCCTATCTCTTCTTTGCCAGAGAGTTTTATAGGGGCTTGAATCAAACACAGATGACTGGAGCTTCTCCTTGTGAAGCCCTGGTGCAATGGTCTGTGCCATCAACCTTCAGTGGAGGATGGCCCTGATCCATGGACAGTCCCAATCAAAGCAGCACTTCAAGTGTCTAAATCCTCCTTGTGTTTAATGCTGTCTAATCAGGGCTGTCCTGAGGAGTTTATGTTGGCTGTGAGTTGCTGTGCATAGAGTCTGATCCTCCGTAAAGGTTAAAAAGCACTTTTGTGGCCTGATCATCTCAGTCCATTAACGAACAAAGAGAACTTGAGCTCTCTGTTAAGAAGAGGATCATAAATTCAACAGAAGTTCCCAATAAAATTGCTCATCAGGTGTACTGGTTCATGGAATTTGGTGCATAGTTATGCTTGAGGGAAAGACATGACCTGCAGAAGTCCTTTCCAGCCTATGCCATTTTGGGATTGTGGAATGTTAGAGATTGCAAGGACTTTGGGTGGTCCAGGCCCCTTTTGGTCATTCAGCAGTGGAACAAGGCGGGTCCTGGGTGGACCTAGGTACAGGGCATGGAGCAAGGCAGACATAAACCTGTGATGAACAAATCATGGGCCAGGGGAGGTGGGGAAAAGGTCACTTGGCAGTGGGACCAGCATTCAGCTCCCTCCTGTGTCTCCTGGTGTCTCTGCAGTTTGCCCCTTGTTTCAGTTCCTCAGGCATGTAATGGGACTGATCAGATCTCTGTGGACTCTGCAGAGATTCTTTAGGTGATCCCTCATTTCAGCAGCTGGGAGGCTTTTCCCAAGCTGGGGGTTAAGGTGGGAACCTATGAAGAGACACTAGACAACTTCTGGAAATGTTGTATATCAGGGAAATGAGACAGGCAGTGTAGAAGTGGGGGAAAAAAACAGATGATAAAAGAACCTAGTTTTTAGGGCAAACTGCCCTTTTTGTCCCTCCAAACTTGCTTATGCATTCTGCCCTCCACAAACAAAACCATTTTCCCTGTGTTTCTCTCCCCAGGACATCGATGGCCAGGCCCTCCTGCTGCTGACACTGCCCACAGTGCAGGAGTGCATGGAGCTGAAGCTGGGTCCAGCCATCAAACTGTGCCACCAGATTGAGCGAGTAAAAGTCGCTTTCTATGCACAATACGCCAACTGACTGCACTTCTCCATTCCTTCCTGTCCCCCTCCTTGTTCCCTGTCTTTTTTACCATTTCAGCTTGTTCAAGGGGTTTTCTGCCCCCAGATCCTTTTTCTTTACCAAGAACAAGTGGAATTGGAAGCACTGGGTTACTGTAGGGGGAAGGAAAACAAACACAAAAAGGAACAAGCTACAAATGGAACTCACTTTTCTGTACTTGTAAAGCACATGGAAAGACTGCTGGCATCTCTCCTCGTGAGCCTCTCCAACCCATTGCCCAGTGGTGCTAGGCCAGCATGGATCAGGTGGTTTGTCACCAAACCACACCTATCAGTGCCAGACACATTCCCAAGGAGAAGGGTCAGACGTGTCCAGGTGGTCATAGTTTGTCTAGGACAATTTCTGGACATTAACATTTCTTTTAGACATCTCTGACACTCCTCTTTCATATTGAAATGTAAGACATCATTTGTAGTATTACCTGGGATTTAACTTCAAGTTTGATCTTGGTGATCAGTGTGCTTTATTTTTTTTCCTCCTGCCTCTCCGGTTTTACAAAAGGAAAAAGTGTTACACCAGACATATAATGGTTATTCCTGACTGAATTTTGAAAGGGGACTCAACCCATGGTCTCTGTGATATCAAAGTTGCAGTGGACTGACAGGGGTGACACAAGACCTGGTGGGGCAGCAGCACATCCTGAGCCACGCTGGCTCTGCACTATCAGCTGAATATCTCTGTGATGGGATCTGTACAATTCTCCATTCTTGTACAGGAACATGAAGGCTTTCATAGTCAAAATCTGACTCTTCAGTTCAAGTCAATATAAAGACATGTCTTTGAGCCATATGGTGACAGCAGATTGGGATCAAGGACTCCTGCTGACCCCTGTTCTCAGAAGAACCTACGGACCAACACCAGGCTCCAGCTGCTGCATTCTCCTTCATTGGTTTCTTTCTTAAATTCTTTGGAGAAGAGGGGGGACCTTCAGATATAAATAATCTGGAATACATCCAGATCTTGCCCAGAGGGTGTTTTAGGCAAGAAGCATTGACTCTGCCATGGATCACTTGGGAATTCCTAGCTTGTCTTTCCTGATTTGTCACTGAGGAATGGGATGGGTGCAACTGCTGCAGGCTGGACCTGATGCTGAGACTTCATCAGAAATGTTCTTACATGGGAGATGAGCAGGACTGGATCTATTCTCAGCTGTTGCTTTGTTCTGAAGATTTTTTCCAAGTTTTAATCAGTTCAAGTATTAGTTGCCTCTGCATCAAATGGTGGAGTTTTGTTCTTCAGAAATCCAGGAACAGGGTTCTGTAGTGGTGCAGATATTAAAAAACTGGGGTTTAGACTGGATTTCCTACTGGCAGTAGCAGTGAAATGTGACAGTGCAACTGATAACTACTTGGATCCCTCTCAGGGTCCCCTTAAAGCGTTGCTCAGTGTTTCACCTCTGAAGACAGAAGGATTGCGCCCAGCAAAGTGAGAGAACAGCTGAGAAAATCAGGGAGGCTGCTTCTCCCAGCTCCTCCTCACTTCAGCCCAGTCCTGGTGTTACACCTGTCAGCAGGAGACAGCTCCTCGGAGGATTCTGTCAGGAGAACTGGCACATGAGGTTACTCCAGGGAAGAGAAGCAGAAAGGTTGTTTGCTAAACAGCATCCCAGCACTGATACTTTACTCGTCAAATCCAGCTGCTTCTGCTGCTCTGATGTTCTTGCAGTTTCTGGCATCTGGGATTTGTCAGAGACATTTAATGCCTTCTGGGTACACTGCAAAAATGTAATTTTTTGTCTCCATCAACCTTGTAACTGCAAAAATCACTGCAAAACCACTCTCATTCTGCAGGAGAGTTGACATTTAAAGCACTGTTGGGCTATAAAATTCTCATCTTTGATGACTGGCTCATTTTCTATGTGCAGCCATTAACACCATTTACACTTCTTGCTGGAGTATTGTACCAAAGAATAAATGAGACCATTAAAGGCTTCTGCTCCTTTATTGGGAGTTCATGAGCACCTAAGGACACAAGCACTCTCTTGTAAGTCTGGCAGACTGCAGCTGCATTTCTGCCTGCCAGGAGAAGGAGACGTTTAAATTTTCTGTTAATGAAGTGCAGACTTTTCAGCTTCCATGTGAGAGAAACTGGTGAAGAATTGGTCCCACAGCCCCAACATCTTTGAGGGCCCTAACACTAACCTCAGCTAATTCTGGATCAAATCCTGAGTAACAGATTCCTTTAGTTCTGGGTCAGCTGATGTGATACTATTACTGAGTGGAAAATATACATGCATCCACATTTTGAAAGAGTTTTTACATAAATATACTATATAAAACATCTCCAAAACACCCAGGATTGTGGGTGAAGGAACATTTGTTGAGTGTATCCAAGTTAAAAAGTGTACACTCACTTTTTTTTTTAAAAAAAAAAAAATCCTAATGTTCAAGACATTGCAGATTACAGAAAATATTTCCTGGAGTAAGGAATCAGCTTTGCAATCCCAAGTACTGGAAAATACAGCGTGACATATCGTAGCGCCAAAAGGGAGCCCTTGGGACTGTATTTATCCACGTGTAATAAAGCTGGTTTTAATGGTGTTCAGTTGCAGCATGTTGTTCTCTTTTGGCACTTGAATTTGGAAACAAGAGGAACACTCTAGAGTTCATCATTTTCCAGACACACTGCACCAGAAAAGCACAAAGAATCTGAAGTGCTCTGATTGTACGGAGCTTCTGAAACTGAGATGGCACAGCAGCTCTGCCAAATTCGATTCTGTGCCCTGAAAAGACCAAGGCAGGCTTTAAGGTGACTAAATGTTGATTATGGCAGCCCAACATTGCCTGCTTTGCCTTCAGAAGGCTGAGATGGGGACACCACTCAACCAGGACTGCAAAAGACTGAAAGTTAAAGCCAAGGAATGGCGATTTTCCAGTTTAAGGCAAATGAGCTGTTTGCCCAGAGTAAAATAAAGGAGTTTAGGTGTCCCACTGAGAAACTTTTTTAATCCCAGCAAGCATCCGAATACCTCTGTCAGCGTGGGTCAGACCATCTCAACTAGGACATGCATCTACTGGATACTTCATTAAGGACAGGGTGTGCCCTGGATTTTGGTGTTTTCTGAGGCACACCACATTTTCAGGAGATTTCTGCACCCTGCAGGAATAAACTATCAAGGGTTATGGAATATGATAACATGAAGGAGCTAGAAATCCTGAAATCCTCCTCAGAGCTGAGAAGCATTCATGCCTCTGAGACGTAGGAAAAGCCAGGGTTTGGTCACCCTGGCAGCTGTGTTTGTGAGCTGAAAAAGGAAGAAAAGCCCTGAAATCAAAGATCATTTTTCTTGAAGAGTATCCATGACAGCAGGAGGAAGACAGGATGACCAACAAGAGAATCATGGACATTCCTTAAGTTAATGCTTTAATCCAATTTCAGAGCTGGATGCTTTGGGCCTGCAAAGTGGGAATTGGCTGATTCTGTCAAGGTAAGGGTTGTGAAGGGAGCAGGGACCTGCCCATGGATCTGTTCAGCCTGAGTGCAAGCTCCAAAGAAGCCAGTACAGATAAAGATGAGCAGGCACCATGCATTCTTCAGTAACACCTGCACAGCCTTCCTGTGTGAGCAAAGTGGTCTGTGTCAGGGTGGTGCTGAAGGTCAGCATCCAACAGCCCAGAAATAACAGCAGGGCTTCTCCCCAGCCCCTGGCAATGGCCTTAGACAGTCCTGAGCTCAGAACTTCACAGCAGTGGCCCTCTGAAACTGATAACACAACGAACTTCAGGCCTGGATGCCAAATTCAGAACAGGGAGGGGAGAAGATGTGACTTCACCTGTCATTAGTGTATCAGTGAAACTGCAGCAGAGCTGAACTGAACTTCAAATCAATAAGGTCTGGAACAAAAAACCCCACAAATTTACAGTGGTTTACACTTCCACATTGCAAAAGTGGTATTTTACTCTACCAAGATTGGGTTTTCATCATCTCCTTTGAAGTACTCCAAAGCTTTACTGATGTTCCAGAATTGAAACGAAGTCCAGGCAAGAGTATTTAGTTCCTTCTGATCTGTGCCCAATCTGAGCATATTGTATAGTTAAACTCCACATCAGCCATTCTCCACTTGTGTAAGAAATGGCCCAAGAAGTTCAGCTCCAGCTTTTCTGGAAAGCAATCCATGCAACAGACAACAGTACCCCAATCCTGTATCTCTTCTCAACCTGCAGCCTAAAAAGGATTAGTAAAGCATTTACCACTCAAGATAATTTTAGCATAAGGATTCAGGTTATCATCTTCTCTGAGAGGACAGAAAGTGATAAGCGAGGCAACACTGAAGAACAATAAAGTGAAAGACAAATAGCAAGGAGAGAGGAACCTGTGGAAATAAAAAGAACTGGTGCAAGATGAAATTAGAACTTTTTTTTTTTGTTATTTAATAGTTTGAGTTTTGAATATGGTTTAACTTCCCTAAACAACCAGTAAGGATTCCCATGTTCTAGGCTCAATGCTTCACCCATTCTCTGACTGGCCAGCACTAGAGCTGGTTGCTCTCAGATTCTGTGTGTGTCTGCTCCCCAGTCATGCCTCCACAAGGAATTAGCTGCCACAGGAATTCTTTTGCAGAGGACACATGAACTGCACAAACCTGGGTCATAGGTGCAAATACTTGTGGCCTTTCTTTTTTTTCAGTCTACTGTGTTAATTTTTGCAATGAAAAAGTTAAGTCTTGATCACTGCCAAGGGTGTGGGAGAGGGGAGAGAGGGCTCCAAGAGAGAGCCTGGAGTTCTGGGCTTGAGTTTTCTTTGTGGAGAGGGACCTCTCGGAACAGAAGCACAGCTGGGGTCTGTGAGCATCGTTCCTTAAAGCTTCTCTTTTTCACAGCAGAGATGGTTTTTGAGTCCCAGCAGGGGCCAGCTGAGAGGAGGGAAAGAAGCTGGCAGTAGACTCAGAGCTACAATGCTGAAAGGTTCTAATTTTGGTTCCCAGTGGAAATGGAGAAATCTGGCTCAGATATCTCTAGGCTCCTTGGCTGGATAGGAGGGAAAATAAGTCTTTCTTCATTGTACCCAGCTCCTGTGTGTCTTCTGGGGTTTGTGGGCTGAAGACTCTCCTCTTGAATCTTCTAGACCTGCATAGGAAATACCAGGCTAAAACTTGAGCTCTCTCCCACAGGAAAAGGTGAAATTGCCCAGAGTTCATGTTGTGGATATATAAAGCACTGCTCAGTGTTGTGATATGACAGGATGAAAATTCTCATTCCCAGGGCACCCCACCTGCTGCTTGTTGCTCCAGCCTCACTGGAGATTATGGACATACATATTTATAAATGTCTGTAATTTATACATTATAAACATGTGCATTCCATTTCCCAATCCCTGTTCTGCCAAACCTGGTCAGGATGTGCCAAGTTGTTCCAGCAGCCTTCACCTTCAGGGTGGAGATCACCCAGGGATCTTCTTTCTGGAAAACACTCACTTGGGGAATGGTACCGTGACACTTTGCATGCACAGGCAGGGGTGTCCTCTGTGTTCCAAGGGAGGTGAAAGTCTCAAATGCAGCCTCGGAGGGGAGTTGAGTCTTTTCATGTGCCTTGTGCAGGACAAGCACTTAAACCCTCCTGTCTCTCATGGAACAGCGGGAATTGGCTCCACAACCAGCAGTTACGCTCCATGTGTGGTGGTGCATGTTGGAAAACTTTGAATTGTTTTGCATTCCAGTTTGTACTGAAGGTTTTGACTCCAAGTTTGTGTATATAATCCCTTTGGTGTGTTGATACATATGTGTGTATATATATGTATATATATGTGCGTGTATATGTATGTGTATATATATACATATAAATCAATCAATGCTGGTGTTTTTACTTTTTAAAGTTCCCAGGGCGAAGGGCATGTTGTCAGTTTGCTGTAAGATTCTATTCTGTATATATGTTTCCATGTAAATAAGTGAAAATCTATATTCAGAGTTATATTTTAATTTTTATTCAGAACGAAATCCCTTTTTACTTGAAACAGTTGTAAGCCACGTTGTTAATAAAGTTACAATAAGTCATATCTCTCTCCAGGGGAGTTCTTTTTGGTTTGACAGGGCTGTGTTTTGATGTATCTGTGTGTCCATGCTGCCTGGATCAGTTTTGCCTTCACTGAGCCCCCAACTTCCAGAGTACAAC